AGACTAAAATAATCGCTTTGCGTATATTATGTGAGGGGAAGCAAGGTTTACTAAACTTATGGACTAAAAATCATAGCAGCTTGCAAAAAAGTGACTTGATCTTCCGTTTTCTAGGCCTGGGTCCTCGGTTAGGTTAGGCTAGGGCATGTTAGTACATCAGTTTAGCGACGTTGTGAACGTTCGAGAGTACGGGCTGGTGCTTGTTGGGGTGTATATATCCCTGGCGGCAAGGACTCTGTCATCACTTATTTATATAGACGTTTATCATGGCACCGCGGCAGCGAGTGACGTCACATGTCACCCCGCTGCCAAACGTGTGGGCGACGTTACATCATCGAGGGGAGAGGTCCTCAGGTGTGTGAGGGGAAGGTGAGGTATATATACAAACTTATGAGTTAGTTTGAGAGTAGTTTTCTGGCCGTTTGGTGTGAGAGATCGCTCTAGGCTCGATGGTTGCCGCTGTGTTGTGTGACAGAGTGAGTTTACCATATCTACAGTGACGTCTTCACCATATCTACAGTGAGATCTTCACCATATCTACAGTGAGATCTTCACCATATCTACAGTAAGGTCTTCACCATATCTACAGTGAGATCTTCACCATATCTACAGTGAGGTCTTCACCATATCTACAGTGAGGTCTTCACCATATCTACAGTGAGGTCTTCACCATATCTACAGTGAGGTCTTCACCATATCTACAGTGAGGTCTTCACCATATCTACAGTGAGATCTTCACCATATCTACAGTGAGGTCTTCACCATATCTACAGTGAGGTCTTCACCATATCTACAGTGAGGTCTTCACCATATCTACAGTGAGGTCTTCACCATATCTACAGTGAGGTCTTCACCATATCTACAGTGAGGTCTTCACCATATCTACAGTGAGATCTTCACCATATCTACAGTGAGGTCTTCACCATATCTACAGTGAGGTCTTCACCATATCTACAGTGAGGTCTTCACCATATCTACAGTGAGGTCTTCACCATATCTACAGTGAGGTCTTCGCCATATCTACAGTGAGGTCTTCGCCATATCTACAGTGAGGTCTTCGCCATATCTACAGTGAGGTCTTCACCATATCTACAGTGAGGTCTTCACCATATCTACAGTGAGGTCTTCACCATATCTACAGTGAGGTCTTTACCATATCTACAGTTAGGTCTTCACCATATCTACAGTGAGGTCTTCACCATATCTACAGTGAGGTCTTCGCCATATCTACAGTGAGGTCTTCACCATATCTACAGTGAGGTCTTCACCATATCTACAGTGAGGTCTTCACCATATCTACAGTGAGGTCTTCGCCATATCTACAGTGAGGTCTTCGCCATATCTACAGTGAGGTCTTCACCATATCTACAGTGAGGTCTTCACCATATCTACAGTGAGGTCTTCACCATATCTACAGTGAGGTCTTTACCATATCTACAGTTAGGTCTTCACCATATCTACAGTGAGGTCTTCACCATATCTACAGTGAGGTCTTCGCCATATCTACAGTGAGGTCTTCGCCATATCTACAGTGAGGTCTTCACCATATCTACAGTGAGGTCTTCATATCTGCAGTGAGGTCTTCACCATATCTACAATGAGGTCTTCATATCTACAGTGAGGTCTTCACCATATCTACAGTGAGGTCTTCACCATATCTACAGTGAGGTCTTCACCATATCTACAGTGAAGTCTTCACCACATCTACAGTGAGGTCTTCACCATATCTACAGTGAAGTCTTCACCATATCTACAGTGAGGTCTTCACCATATCTACAGTGAGGTCTTCACCATATTGTGCTAAATAGTCTTCCGAACTTTGCGCCATCGTTTGATAATTATTGACATATCTTTTGTGTTGTAGTCTACCTCTCGGTGTATGTACACAGAAAGTTTACTTTAGAAGTAAACTCCATTCAGGGCTGAAGTGTACCTGCTGGCCCTTTAGAAACTATTATAGTGGCCTTAATAACCCTCCATAGGTTGATAGGCCTTAAGTTGAACATTAAAGCTGTTCTGTAGGCTGTTTCTGCAGTCTCTGAGAAAATACTGCAATTCTATTATTTTTCCAATTGAAAAATTGTACTTTGTGCTTGAAACTCTTGGAAATGTGAATTTTGCCGTTAATATATATCTTAAATGGCCACAATGTGGAAAGACTACATGTGAGATAATGAACATAGATATTAAAACATGAAAGTAATATACAAAGATCATGTAATGGATGTTACATAAAAAAGAAAAACTGAGCCCAAAATGCGTGACGAGTGTTGCCGGGTGTTGGTTGGTGGTGGAGGTTATTGGGCAGCATTCATGCGCTCCAGGACCAATATTAATTAATGGTAGAGTTGTTATCGTTACTGTGGTAGATAGGTAGATTATCCCGGGCTTCACTAGTTCAAATCTCGGGATCGTATAATTTATATATATTTATATAATATATTTTTATATTCGTCTCAGAGGCTATGGGTACCTATAATTGTACATGAGGTATTTTAAAGACATTAATTATCTTATCAAGGGCTTCGTTTCCAAGAGCGTGGCCACCCATCCAATTACTGGCCAAACCTATGATTATGGACATTCATTGCACTGCCATTCCCACCCAACAAAGAACCAGGTGTCATTAAATATACTTTTTGTTACGCAGCTTCCCAACATTTTTGTCTCATACTACAATAGAGTATAATACGGAGAGACTTTTTATCATACAAATATAGACATGTCATCATAGGCTACACTGACTCGTGAATATAATCATTTTTGTAGTCGATTTGTTCGGAAATTAATCTAATTGTTTGATGATAACAATGTTATTAGTTGAGGAAATATTTTTTTTTTATATTAGTTCGTGGAGTGTTAGCGTAAAGTTCACAAATCAACTGAATATTTACACTATAATGTCACGGGGGAGCTGGAAAGGGTAAATCCAGGCCCCCTTTTGTGAATCACCAATAGGAGAAGCTCTTAAGATCAGTGAAGGGAATACACCAATCAGAATTTTCTCTTTATATTCTGATGGGGTAGAGATGCAAATAGGAATAGCGTTGAGGTGCAAGAGGCTCCAGCTGTCGCTTGGAGGGAAATTTAGGCTATTTTGTGTATCGTGCGGTCGTAGTGTCGTGGTGTAGTGAGGCTTGCACTGTACATTGTAAACTAAACAGGAATATGTGGAATTTTACCGAGTTCAGTAACCGGGAACAACTGCCTGTTACATGTGTATTGTTCAAATAAGTTTTGGTGCTATTTAAAGAAAAATCTAATAATAAAATATTGTTTTGATGATGCGCATGAAATGAATAACTGGAAAAGTAGGAAGATGGATCTTTAATTTATTAATAAACTAGATCTAAAAGTGACATAGAAACGAAAGTAAACTGGGAAGTGTCCGTTGTGAAAGTCGTCTCTCCCATCGTGCTATACTTGCTCCTCTTCATTCTCATATTCGTGGAAGACCATAAATATAGTATTGTTTCCTTGTCTATGACAAGCCAGCGTGAGAGCCCCATCACAGAGGACACGGTTTATCTCACTAATATACGTCCAGTCGTCCAGTGGGCCTCAGTAAATATAATATGAGGCTCACGGAAGAAAATATTCAGGTTGTCAATTACAAGTTTTTAAATCGGTTTTATTATAATTTAATGCAATTTGATATTAACTCCAAGTTTTGAACTTGATATTTAGCTCACTAAGTTGTCATGGTCCCGAAGTTAATAGCTGAAGAAACTTTTGGGGGTTAGAATGTAGAGAATAGAATAATGTCGTTACTTGGGCAATATTGTCATTTGCAAATAATTAATAATTAATTTTGTCTGGGGCAGGCAGCCTATATATATATATTATATATATATATATATATATATATATATATATATATATATATATATATATATATATATATATATATATATATATATATATATATATATATATATATATATATATATATATATATATATATATATATATATATATATATATATATATATATATATATATATATATATATATATATATATATATATATATATATATTACCCCAGGTAATAGTGTAATACGGAGCCGAGCGGACAGCACACTGAACTTGTGATCCTGTGGTCCCGGGTTCGATCCCGGGCGCCGGCGAGAAACAATAGGCAGAGTTTCTTTCGTCCTATGCCCCTGTTACCTAGCAGTAAAATAGGTACCTGGGTGTTAGTCAGCTGTCACGGGCTGCTTCCTGGGGGTGGAGGTCTGGTCGAGGACCGGGCCGCGGGGACACTAAAGCCCCGAAATCATCTCAAGATAACCAGGTCGAACTACTGACCTCACAACAGTTGACCAATTTCTGGGAATATATTTACTGCTAGGTGAACAGAGGCATTAGGTGGTAAGAAACATGCTCAACCATATCTGTTCCGCCCGGGAGTAGAACACCATTACTATTTGTTTTTATTAAGTATTTATTTTTATTTATAAAGTATTTTATGGTTATAATTCACTTGTGGTAGTATCCTAGATGATATAGCTGTTTCGTAGCGGTCAGTGCAGGTAGGTTACAACTAATTGGTCCCGAGTTCTATTCCCGGGTAGGGTGGAGACGTTTGGGCACTTGATCATATCGCCTAACAGTACATTACCTAAATGTCAATAATTTAGGTGGAGACTACTTTACCAATGAAAAACTAATTATTCGAATCATGATCAATCATATGTCCTGCGTATTTTTAGTAGTAACTCATTTGATTTTCCAGTTATTGAGAAGACAAAATTGATCGTAAAATATCATATATATAAGTTATCAGAACTGAGATATTAACCTGAATGGTATCAGAAGATAAAATTGATCGTAAAATATCATATATAACGTTATCAGACCTGAGATATTAACCTGAATGGTATCAGAAGACGAAGAATGTTTTTAGCATAGTTATCTTTAAAGAAAAGGACCACTGTTTAGTTAATTGACGACTAAATTTGTCATTACAAACATATTACAGCCGCCACTCCTCCCACAGATCAGCTCCCCGAGCTACGGCAGCGGCCGGTATGGGACGACCAGCACCAGCTCCACCGCCGGCGTGCCCACAGTGTCGTACCGCGCAGCACTCACCCGGGACCTCTCTGCCTCGCAGGACCGTCTGGCACCGGGGTACGGTTCCGATGTCAACAAAAGCGGTTATGGCTCTGGGACAGGTAGGTTGTTGATATATATTTATTGAAGTAGTTACAACACAATACAGTGGATTGCGTAACTTGTCTGGGTGTAAATTACGTTCCTGTCACGTCACTCTCTCGAGTGAGTTTTTTTTTAGGACAGGTGAGACAACCTGTCCTCTTAAAAATAACGTTGCTTTTGGCCGTTTGCCCGTATGGCCAAAAGTGGATGTAATTTGAAAATGAAAATAAATTTGGGATTATTTTTTTCAACGACAGTAAGTTAAGAGTCCTCTGGTAGGTTAGATGGGCAGGAAGTTCTCATAAAGTTTCAAAACGTTATGAAAAACGTTAATTGAAAGTTTCCTCTTCTAACCTTGCTGAGTAGGCCGGACGACTCAAATAGAAAACGAGACAGTACGTCACTTTTGTGAGTCGATTTCATTTCAAATTACGTCCAAATTTGGCCATAGCGCGCATACGAGCCAAAAGTGACGTTATTTTTAAGAGGACAGGTTGGGTGAGAGCATTGTATTTGACCACACTTTGAACCAAAACAGTGGAACACAGGTGTTCCCACCTGTGTTCTGTTGTTATGGTCCCTCCTCTGTCTTGTTGTTATGATTGTAACAATCGGACACAGGTATATATTGTGACAACTTTCCACTAAGGCAGCGAATGTGCTCATAACCCTCACCCATCATAGAGAATCAGCTTGAAGTATCTTTCATTGTTTATAAATTGGTACTGACGTTTTTCAGGGACTGGGAGCTATAGATCCCGTTACGGGACAGAATCATCTGCCAGCAAGGGACCGTCGTCGACGGCAGTGTCAGCTCTCTCGTCCAAGTTTGAGGAATCGAAGCCTTCGTCCACAAGTCCAAGAGTGAGACCCACTTCCCTCGCCACCAGCAACAATGTCGCCCCTTCTTCTCCCAGCACCACTCCCATCACTGCAGCAGTCCCAGCCTCTAACCTGTACAGCAAGACTCTCTCTCCTTCCACTACTCTTCCCAGCAGTAGGCTTTCCCGGGAGCCTTCTCGTTCAGAGAGCGGCGGAAGGTCGCCTGGAGGCTCAGCCTATACTTCCCGGCTCACAAGCGGTACAAACTTCGATCGATCGGGCTACAACTCTGATGCGAAATCGGGCTACGGCTCCGATCTCAATAAGTCTGGGTACGGGTCTGGATATGGTTCTGGGTCTGGCAACTATACGAGTCGATATAGTTATAGCCGTAGCAACAGCTATATGAAGGACACCGAGCCCAACACTACCACATCAAGCTACAGGCCAGCTTATAGTAGAGAGAATAGCTTCCTAGGCAGCGACACTGGAAGTGGTTCAGGCTGGCGGAGTCGTGTGTATGGAAACGTACCAGACACTACAACCAGGACACGTGATCTCCACAATTCTTCAGAACAAATCCCAAAGTCCAGCTCCAATCATGACACTAATGTTCCCAAGGACACTGAGGCTGTTAAACCAGCTTTCAAAGATGCCATTGATAAGCTGACCAAAGCTACTAAGGATGAGGGTAAGGAGGGAAAAAGTGTGGAGCCTCCATCTCCAAACGCTGTGCGAGTATTACCGATCTTCACAGCAGATGATCTCAACAAGAAGAACAAAGCCCCAGCAGACTTCAGCTCTGCGGCTGAAAGTTCAGACGACGAAGACGAAAGAAAGAATGACAAGCAAGACACGGTCAAAACTAAAGACCCAACAACCACATCTGTTACAGCAACAACCACCTCTCCATCCAACACAACAATTTCAAGACCTTTCAGACATTTAGCGGCTGTACCAGCTCTACCAACGAAGCCGATAACGTCAGTAACTAGTGGTCTAGCGATGCCCCCACCCTTCAAGCTCTCCTCCAGATTCTCCACATCAACGACTGAAAACTTGCCAATCACTTCCACCTCCTCAAAATGGCTAAAAGACAAGGAAGAAATTCCATTGATCACTGCCACCACCACCGCTGCCACCACCACCACTACCACCACCACCACTGCCACCACCACCACTGCCACTACACGCCTGAGTGTGGGTGATGCCAGTCCCAAAGCCACATCTCCTCTACCACCTCGCTCTCCTGTCCTCGGTGCCAATAAGACCACTTCCGTCTCCCCAACTGGCGAGAAGAAAAGTGGTCTGGGGGTGGCTAACAAAGAATGCAGGAAATCTGTATTGAATATGGATATCAAAGCAAGTGACACAGATGCCATGAGGAAGCAACAAGAGGAGAAGAGAGAGGAACTGAGAAGATTGAGAAGGCAGAGAGGTACTGAGGATGATAGTAAGAGCAATCAAAGACCTCCAGTAGGAAGCATTAGAACGAGACCGGGACCCAAATTGGAAGAAGTTGGTCGACAACGATCAAGAGGCTCTGGGTCAGACCTCTCTAAAGCATCGTCTCAGACAAAAGTTGTGGAGGACGATGAAGACTCGAGTAGTGACGAGGAAGAAAGACATGATGACAAGCCTCCAGTGGCACCCTCACTGGAGAAAATACCATCCAAAAGCAAGTTGGTTGAAAGGAAACATTCCAAGGGCAAGGCAGATGCTATGAGGCGCAGTGGGTCTATGCAGCGCTTCCGCCAGTCATCCCAGACTAGCAAAACGTCCACATCGGACTCGTCCTCCTCAGATAGTGAAGAAGTGCCTGTTGTTACTGTCGTTCTTAAGTGTAGGCGGCGACAAAGCTCCAGGGACGATGTGCTTGGGTCATCTGGAGACAATCATAGTCGCCCTTCATCCCGCACCTCGCCTCGAGTGATAAAAAGGGGTTCCTCGGAAAACGTTGTGGATGGTAATCGGTCGCGTAATAACTCTTCATCCAATATAGTTGGACGCAGGTCACGCAACAACTCCCAAGCCACAGCAGAATCTGGTTCCCGTAACAGCTCCTCCTCGAACCTGGCAAGATCCCGTTCAGGAAACAATTCACGCACTGGCATGGACGAAATTGATAAGTCGAGGAGCAACTCAAGGTCCAGCATACTCGGGGACAAGAAGTTATCACTCGGACCTGACATAGACATCGGTGAGAACAAGAGATGTGACTCTTCCCGCACAAATGGTGTGAAGAAAACCTCTAGCAGCCACAGCTCCAGTAATCTTTCAAGGACGAAATCTGGAGACAAACTTAGGAAATCTGGCAGCAGTGTACAGAGAACCAATGACAGGAGGGTTAGTAAGAAGTCTAGTTCAAGCGACTCTGAGAGCTCCACCACATCAGACTCGAGTGAGAGTGCAGGTGAAGAAGGTCAGTTCTTCTCCCTCACCAAGTCCCGCTCCATGAAAAAATCTAGATCTTCCTTGAAATTCCCTGTCAGTGTCTCTGAAGAGACACCCAGACTGGAGGAGCTGGGAGCGAGGACCAGTCCAGATGGAAAAGAGCATGTATCTAGGACCAACTCTGATGCCAACATGCGAGTGACGTCACCATATGATAATGTAGCAGACAAGGACGATGACAGCGAAGAACTGAAGCCATTCTACTGGCCGGTTGATAACTCTGCTTCGAAAACGGACCTCACAGAGATATACAAAAAACGCGATAGCCGGGCAGCATCCAATAAGTCAGTTTCTGAGCTGGGGACTTTTGAATGGCCTAGTGGCAGTCCACCAATCACTCGAGCTCTTCAGCGTCAGGATAACTCTGAGAATGATGTTCCACAGATCAACGCCAGCAGGAGCAGCTCTAAAGGAAATATTGAAAAGAGCAGTTCTCTTGAAGCATTTGAATGGCCATCGGGAAGTCCAGAACTTCCAAGGAAAAAGCTGGATGAAACAGGAGACTCGGTGAGCGAGATAGGAAATTTTGAGTGGCCATCTGGCAGTCCAGAAATGCATATTCACAAAAATGCTCAAAAAGAGGAACTAGGAACTTTCTCGTGGCCATCGGGGAGTCCAGAATTGTACATTCGTGAGAAAGAAAACCCAGCCGGTGAAGAAGGAGCACACGAAGAAGAAAGTGCATGTGTGTGGGAGGGCAGCCCAGAACTCCCCAGAAGAACAGTGTACCGCAATGCCTATGAGAGTGAAACTGAGACAGATTTGGGATGGTCGGACGAAAACGCCGATGTCTCCAGATCGCAAATGCCACAAGTTGCTGAAGAGACGGAGGAGGAATATAACTTCGAGTGGCCCAGCAGTCCAGAGTTATCCCGAAGAAAGCCTTCGGCATATGGCTACTCCGATGCCTATGACACTCAGGCTGAGACGGAAGGCTTCGAATGGCCCAGCAGCCCCGAGATGCAGCGGATGAAGAACCCCAACTTTATCAGCTTCACTGAAGATATTGACGCCCTGTTGAGTAATGGCGTGGAGGACAACTTCAGCAAGATGGAGCAGCTGATGGGTTACTTGCCGCCTTCAGAAGAGGAGACTAAAGAGGAAAGTAAGACTGGTGCCCAGGATGACATTGAGGAAGAGGAGGAAGTAGAGAAAGTTGAAAGCGAAAAAGAAACACAGGATAAGGAAGAGAAGAAAGAATCTCTGAAGGACAGAGCTCGACGTAATCTGTCCCTCTTCATAGGTATGTTGTATGTGGTATGTGCAGCTGCACATGCACCTTGTATGGTTCTTACTGCACATGTTGCTTGTATAGTTTTAACTCTCCATGCTGCCGCTTGTATACTTTTAACTTCACGCTGTTGCTTCTGTGCTTATAACTCTTAATGATGCATGTATGCTTCTAATTCTCCATGCTGCTTGTATGCTTGTAACTCTCCATGCTGCTTGTATGCTTGTAACTCTCCATGCTGCTTGTATGCTTGTAACTCTCCATGCTGCGTGTATGCTTGTAACTCTCCATGCTGCTTGTATGCTTGTAACTCTCCATGCTGCTTGTATGCTTGTAACTCTCCATGCTGCTTGTATGCTTGTAACTCTCCATGCTGCTTGTATGCTTGTAACTCTTCATGCTGCTTGTATGCTTGTAACTCTCCATGCTGCTTGTATGCTTGTAACTCTCCATGCTGCTTGTAACTCTCCATACTACTAAAACGGTTCCAAGTCTTTTATGCTGTTTGATCCCAAACTATGTACAAAACTGAACAGCTTCTTGAATGTTATTCCTCTTGCTCTAAACTGAACAACTTTTGAGATGTAATGCTGTTCATGTTTCCATTGACAGGAAAACTGACGAATATAGACGAGATCTTGGGCACGGTTCTCCAGCCTCTCTCCGTCGGCTCCTCCAAGAAGACCTCCAAGTCGGAAGATGAGGGTGAGTTGAACCTTTCCTGACGTGAGATCTGTTGCATTTTTCAGCATTTTTTTGTTGTGGTTCATAAATGAAAATGATGTTTGTGTGTGTGTGTGTGAGTGAGAGGATTGCTATATTAAAAAAAATGAATGCTTTATAAGATAGATTATAGTTTTAATAAGACAAGAAAGATATACAGTACTTTAGTAGTGCACTATTTTACAAGTTTAAGTTGCAATGTGATCACAGTAGACATTTAGTTTATAATTATTAGATAATAATGTATTTTAGCTTCAGTAAAAAAAATATATAAGTATGGCCTAAACAACGTATAGAAAGTGCGCCAAAACTCGTTATAATATCTATGTTATTTATGTAAATTTATTCCTGATTGTCATTATCCCAGTATTATTAAAGCAATTGTGACGGTAACGCGTTGGTGTTCGGCTGTTTAAGGCTAGGGGTATGGCCTCGTCACATAGTTATAAAAAAAAATAGAAAAACTGGAACTTCGTCTGTGGTAAGGTAAGGAGAAGACACACAAAACACAAGTAAACTTTAACAATGAAATTTTAATTACGTTAAATAAATCAAAACATGAAAATAATGCACAAACAAATATGTATAATAAAATCAATGAATCAAAATAATAAGAATACTTAAATGACACAATGAAAGTTACGTTAAGGCAAAATAATAAGAAGTGCAACACAAAAGTTAAGTGGGAGGTGCTGGAATATTGGCTTAAAGCCACCACCTCTCTCAGTACACTCTAGAGTCTAGCTGGGAGGAGTGCTGGCTACGAAAGCACGGAACATTCTGAGGACTGATGTTGGGGCGACCCCAGACATCAGGTAGTATTGGGAGGCGAGTGCAGGTGCAGCCAGACCGGCGTCCAATCAGCGGAGCCGTAGCGATCAACGGGTAGTTTGGTGGTTGGAGTTCGAACAGGTGGCTGGTTGCATACGTTTCTGCTCACCCTGGCAAGCCTTGCTGGTGCTGGTGTTGTTGTCGTTGTTTGACATTTCTTCCATAGTCTTTTATATAATTGTGACGACGTAATTATGAAGGGAAGAGCAGGCTCAATCTCTTGAAGGAGATTATTGTCACAACTCTCCCCCGAAGCCTGCGGTTCTGGAAGAAGTACGTCGTTATGTGGTGGAGTAATGGATGGAGTCGCTTCTACTTCATAAACTCTGGAGAGATCATGGGCTAAGATGTTGTCAGACTCTTGGTATAGCGTGTCTCCAGGTTGAATTTCTGCAGGTAGCAAGCCCATAGTAGAAGACGTTGAGATGAGAAGTGGGCGTGCTGCAGGAGGTGTAGGGTGGTGTGGTCCGTGTTGATGGTGGACCGAGCACTTTTCAGGTGTGGAGTGAAGTGCTGAAGCTTCAGGATGAGGAAGAGTAGCTCCTTGCCAATTGTTCCGTCGTTCCTTGTAGCAGTAGTCGCCGACAGGTGAATTCTTCTCGCCTCGTTGCTGCATCACGACACCACCATCGTCGGTACCATTGGCGTCGACATGGAGGATGTAGGGCTTATCTGACGAGGTGAGAGTGGAATTAGAAGAGGGCATAGGAGCACGAGTATTATCCTGAAAGCATTTGGGAAGATCATTAAGGATTTTGGAATTAGAAAGCGCCGACTCCTTGTCAGTGCTTTCGGGAGAAGAAGCTGGGAAGGTCTCACTGTGGATGTAGGGTTCTGTGAATGTGGAATAATTAGTCAAGACAGTGGGAGGAGTACCATTATATTGCTTCAGGAGGTTGACGTGGCACAGCTGGGTCTTCCGCCGCCTATCAGGAGTCTCTATCACATAATTATTATTATTCCTGCACTCTTTGACGCAGTAGGGTCCTGAAAATCTGTTTTGTAAAGGTGAACCTGGGATAGGGAAATAAGCAAGGACGAAGTCTCCCGGCTTGAATTTTCTTACTTTGCTGGTCTGGTCGTAATGAGTCTTCATTCTCACCTGGGCTTTCAATAGATTATCATGAGCAAAGCGGTGGACTCTCTCTAGAATGTGTTGAAGGTTTTGAAGAAACTGGGGCACATTCTGATGCTCACTGAAGGTGGCATCTCTGAGAGAGTCTTTGAAAGCCTTAAGGGGAGTACGGCACTTACGGCCGTAGAGCATCTCATAAGGAGATACTCCTAGGGACTCATTGGGGAGACTTCTGAAAATACACATTATTAGGTCAATCTGCTTATCCCAATCCTTTGAGGTTTCACTACAAAACTTTTTCAAGAGTGCTTTGATGGTCTGATGACTTCGTTCAAGAGAACCCTGTGAAGCAGGATGATAGGGGCTGGACAATACCTGTTTGATGTTGAACTCCTCCAGTGTCCTTTTGAAGAGATCACTGGTGAAGTTGGTGCCACAGTCACTTTGAATCTCCCTGGGAAATCCGTATTGAGTGAAGATCTTCAATAGATGTTTGATAACCGTAGCAGCCGTGATGTTCTTCACTGGAACTGCTATGGGAAATCTGGTGGTAGGACACAGGATGGTTAGGATGTAGGCGTTACCTGAACTGGTCCGAGGTAAAGGACCGACACAGTCTATTATGAGTCTGTGGAAAGGTTCCGCAGGCACCTGTATGGGAATCAGTGGTGCTCTGGGAATGGAGACGTTCGGTTTGCCTGCCATCTGACATGTATGACACTGTTTTACGTACTGTTTGACGTTGTTTACCATACCTGGCCAGTAGTAGTCTTGACGAATCCCATGGTAAGTCTTGTTGAAGCCGTAGTGGGAGAATGCTCCATGGGCCAGGTGTAGAATAGTGGGCCGCAGGCTGGTGGGAATCACAAGTTGTTCGGTGTTGGCCCAATCGTCCTCCTCCTTCAGTTTACTGGGTCTATATTTGCGGTAGAGCAAGTCGTTCTCTAGGAAGAACCCAGGAATACTGTCGGGTTGAGTCTCAGCCTGGAAAAACAATGGTGTTAAAGTAAGATCTTCCCTCTGCAACTTACGGAACTCCAACTTGGTCAGATGCGGGGGTAGTTTCTGAGGGTCTTGAGGGACAGCGGTAGCAGTAGAGTCAGCTGGCTGTGGACGTGCGGCTTGTGCACGGGTGGTCACGAGAACCGGAGGAGAAACTTCATCACTCTCTTGAACCTCTGCTGGAACATACTCAAGAATAGGGTTACTTGGCACAGAGTTACACACCTGGGGTTTGTCCATGACGATCAGGTTGGTCGGTTGCAGGTCTTCTGCCAAGTCGTTGCCTAGGAGAAGTTGCACTCCAGGCATGGGAAAAGGCTTTTCCCTGACGGCGACTTGGACTTCCCCGTTCACGTAGGGACAATCCAGGTGGACTCTGGCGAGAGGGTATGGAGTGGTAGCAGTGAGGTCAGTGATGAAGACTGTTTCCCCGGTGTAGACTATGTTGGGCACAGCCGACTTCAAGATGATCGATTGTAGAGCCGCTGTGTCCCTCAAGATCTTCAATTTGAAACGTCCCTCCGGATTTGAACCGTTGGCAGAGACAGTTCCAGTATACAGGTGGTTACTGAAAAGAGAAAGATCATTAACATCAACACCAACATTCATCACAGGCTTACCGGACTTAGGAGGAGTTGGTTTGGGTCGTTGTTGGTCAGTGGTTCCCTTGTATTGAGACTTACCACACTTGTCTATGGTATGTCCATAGAGTCTACAATACTTGCAGTACAGTTGTGAACCAGCTTGATCGGGGCTCACCTTCTCGTAACTGTACCACGACTTCTTACTGGAGGATGGTTCAGGTGTCAGCCGGTGGATGAGGCTGTAAGTGTCAGCCGACTTAGCACACTTCAGGTAGTCGGTTTCTTCTTTATCTGCTAAGTAGAGGCGGACAGGAGGCGGCACACGTCTCAAGAATTCTTCAACAAGCATCAGGTTGACGAGTTCTGTAAAAGTAGAGACATGTGCTGCTTCCAGCCATTTCATGAAATACCTCCGTTTCGTGTTAGCAAACTCGAGGAAGGTAGTGGTACTTGCCTTCAGGTGGTCACGGAATTTCCTTCTATAACTTTCAGTAGAGAGGAGGTAGGCGTCCAACACTGCTTGTTTCAGAGTGTAGTAGTCATTCTCAGACGCCAAAGTACTGAGTGTGACTGCAGCTCTACCTGTAAGATGGACTCTGAGAAGTGTGGCCCATTGGTCGACAGGCCAACTGAGTTGATTAGCAAGGGTTTCAAAGGTGGTAAAGAACACATCAACTTCTGCTTCTACAAAGGATGGCATTAACTTACTTGCATGTGATATATTAAAACTGACGGGAAGATTGGCAGTAGCTTGTTGGCGTTGAGTGAAGTGTGAAGTTTCCAAGGCGATTTCACGTTGACGACACTCTAGAGCCAGAGTCGCTTGTTGCTTGTCATGTTCGCGTTGTATTTCCAACTCGCGTTGTTTGGTTTCAAGCTGTAAGCGTTCCCGCTCCTGGAGTGTTTCAAGCTGTACTCGTTCACGTTCACGGAGTAATGCGACCTCGCGTTCGTGTTCTTCTCTCCTCAAGGCAGCTTCGCGTTCTTGTTCTTCCCTTCGTATGGTAGCTGCTTCTCTTTGCTGCTCACGTTCAATCTTAGCCAGCTCTAGTTTAAGTTTCATCGTTGCCAAGTCAGTTTTCTCTGCAATATAGTAAGTTTCATGAGTTTCAGAGTCTATCTTACCTTGCTCTAAATAGTAATCCAGCAACAGGTTGTGTAGGTCATTTTTGTTGGCTTGGTAGGGAACTTCTAGTTGATACTCATGTGCAAGAGTTTGTAGTTCAGTCCTCTTGGCACGACTCAAAGTCCCTATTTCACCTGCTGGATTTGCACGGAAAGTTTGGAGACGAAACATGGTGAAATTAGCAAATAAAGGTACACGAATGTTCAATAATGAAATGTCAGAAACAGGACAACGTGGCAACTGGTACCTATCCTGTGTGATCTTTAACAATTAACGTTAAGTGAAAGATATTAAATGATTAAATTAAATCAAGGGCGCAGGAAATCTTGTACCCGGTACTCATGTAAGAGAATAAGGGCAAGAAAATCCTACTAACAAATGAAACAGAGTTTCGAAAACAAATGAAACAGTTAAATGCTTCAAAAGTAAAATTGGTAGTCCAAGGATGTAGGCATACCTTGCCAAGTCTCTATAGGACATAAAGCAAGTTTTCCCACTGAATTTAATATGATACTTACAGAATTAGCGAACTTTTGTGCTCTGAAAAAATAAGCTAATTCCCTACCGTTGTATGTATCATCATCTCTGACTGACGTGTAGGGGTGCGAGGTGTCAACTGGTGACGAGAACTGCTGCTGAGGTCCCAATTCAGCAACTAAAGTTCGAGCTAGAGGAACTATGGCCCTCTTTGTCCTCCTACAGTCAGATTGCAGAAGATTGGGTACTCTTGACCCGGGGCAGACCACAGTACCAGGGTACCAATATGATGATCTGTCAGAATGAGAAATATTCAAGGGACATAGATGGTAAATACGAGTAATAACAAGGAGGGAGAGATGACCAATTAAGAGTATGACTGAGGCCTACAGTCACCACGTAATCCAAAGTTGTCTCACCTTCACTATATGTTACTCTCGTAATGCACAATACACCGCACCTTATAAAAAATGAAATTGAATGAAAAATAGTAAAGCTACGTTAACAAAGTTAAATACGCTTACCATAAATTACCACTTGGCACCAGTACCTGAGTGAAGCTCCTAGGACAGGCCCCCATATAACTTGTGACGGTAACGCGTTGGTGTTCGGCTGTTTAAGGCTAGGGGTATGGCCTCGTCACATAGTTATAAAAAAAAATAGAAAAACTGGAACTTCGTCTGTGGTAAGGTAAGGAGAAGACACACAAAACACAAGTAAACTTTAACAATGAAATTTTAATTACGTTAAATAAATCAAAACATGAAAATAATGCACAAACAAATATGTATAATAAAATCAATGAATCAAAATAATAAGAATACTTAAATGACACAATGAAAGTTACGTTAAGGCAAAATAATAAGAAGTGCAACACAAAAGTTAAGTGGGAGGTGCTGGAATATTGGCTTAAAGCCACCACCTCTCTCAGTACACTCTAGAGTCTAGCTGGGAGGAGTGCTGGCTACGAAAGCACGGAACATTCTGAGGACTGATGTTGGGGCGACCCCAGACATCAGGTAGTATTGGGAGGCGAGTGCAGGTGCAGCCAGACCGGCGTCCAATCAGCGGAGCCGTAGCGATCAACGGGTAGTTTGGTGGTTGGAGTTCGAACAGGTGGCTGGTTGCATACGTTTCTGCTCACCCTGGCAAGCCTTGCTGGTGCTGGTGTTGTTGTCGTTGTTTGACATTTCTTCCATAGTCTTTTATATAATTGTGACGACGTAATTATGAAGGGAAGAGCAGGCTCAATCTCTTGAAGGAGATTATTGTCACACAATATTTATATCTATATATTTTTATGGGAAAAGTTTTGGATTATGGTAACTTTTGCTGTTGTGTGTGGTTCATACCTGTGCTTAATCGTTAATTATATATATATATATATATATATATATATATATATATATATATATATATATATATATATATATATATATATATATATATATATATATATATATATATATGTGTGTGTATGTGTGTGTGTATATATATATATATATATATATATATATATATATATATATATATATATATATATATATATATATATATATATATATGTTCAAGTTCTGAATAGTCAGAACATCATTATATTTGGGAATTTTACAGAATCAATTCATATACTTTCAGAGTTCTGTTGTCTCAACCCTTCAAATATTTCCAATGTTCTAAGGATCTATGATCCTCGTTGAGAAACCACCATCTTTAGGAATTAATAGTCTTTAGAGCCCACCCATTTATGAAGGCACTGTTAAACCCTTAAGGTATCACCCAGATTCCAAAGAACTAATAAACTATTGATGGACCGCTCACTTCCTAAAGAATTAATAAACTGTATGCTTAACCTTTACCCAAAGTAATTGTTAAACACTCAATACTTGAAGTACACAGTCAGTTCCTATATGCAATCTAGAAACATTCGAAAACGAAGTTTCTTCTTTCCATATATGTATTAAAAATATGGAAAAATATGAAAAAGGTATTTATATAAAATTTTGACAAAATTCCTTGGATAAATTTCTAAATAAATCAGTTCTGGTATTAACCTATCTCGTCCTGAAAATTTTTATAGAACTTTTATCCAATAATTTCTGGTTGTATCTCATAAGAATCACAAGTAAGAACTTTAATAAAGATGGTAGACTAAATAAAAAAAAAGTGGTCTTTAAATTATTTTACATAAATATGTTTCTTGGCAATGATGATACATGCTCTAAAAAAGGTATATTCATTTATTAGGTAATAATAATCAGAGAAATATTAAATCTTGGTAATTATACAGATAAGTCGAATGCATTTATCAGAAGTTTGCTTAGTGACGAACGTCAGTTGACGTAAGACGGACTTTAAGGGTTAAGGCTCCACCCATGTCTGACGTACATACCAAAATCTCTAGATACATCTAATTTTCCGTGTAAATTTCCAAATATGAACATGGTGTTGAACCTTGCTGTGTATGTTTGCACGTGTTGTCTAGCCCATAGTAACTAGCAACTTGTCTAGAGTTTAATAGGAGACAGGAAATGAATATAAGTAAATGTAGAGACAGTTTATAGAGCTGTGATTTTAGTTTAATTGTGATATTATTAGGTCGATTGCGAAGGAAAGTTCTCCTGCTTTCTACTAAGAAAAAACGGAGTGAGTATACTGTTAGTGCTGTGAAGTTACATTGCTTGCTCGCTTACTTGCTTGCTTCAGGCGCCGGGTTGGTCGGCTGTGGTCATTATTTTTGGGTTATCAGTATATTTATTTGGTATCTACGTACCAGTCCCCCCCTCCCCAACAACCAAGACTTCCCCCATACACCTCTCAATTCCTCATATGATCTTATAGTAAGTTATATTTCTCGAGGAAGGAATGTATGCTTTTGGTTAAAGATAAACAGTTATAAAACGTCTTAGTTTTCGCTATTTTAATTAACCATTAATCGAGAAAGTCTTTTTTTTTTAAGCAGAAAAATCATCTTCATAGAATATAGCACTTTTCAATGTGAATTTGATGTATTTATATAAAGAAAATGACAACGCAGGACCCAACAGTAATGGTGCCGGCACCTGAAGCTTAAACAGCAGGCCAGTAGAAGCCTATCATTGTTGCTAGGCTAGATGGTCGCCTTTGTATTTCCGTTGCTCAGCTTTGTAGCATAAATAGTCGGTTTATAAGATCTTAGTGGCATGAAGTAGTCCTTAGTTCTGGCCATTATATATTTAATTAGATTAGAAAGGTTTATATTTGCTAACGCTCTAAGTGATCTATAAATATACTTGGGGTTTATAATGTGATGCATGTATAGCTCAGAGTATCTGACACCATTGGAATCTTTAACTTAACATAATGCTTAAAATACTTAACCATTTATATGAGTAAACGGTTATATATATATATATATATATATATATATATATATATATATATATATATATATATATATATATTACACTTTTTTTAACATTTTAATTTTTTTTAATTTCCCATACAGATGTAAGTTTGCTTTCTTTCAATTACGAGGCGCAACTTTGGTATATTTTATTATGTAATCTTATTTCTTCTTATATCATTTATTATTTTAATTAATTTTTATTTGGATTTTGCAGACTTTTGTTATTTGTTCTTAACTGTGTATTGTTTGTTGTGGTGTTTTTTTCTGTCTTCTGTATCCTCATTCTATCCACTGTGTTCGCCTGTTTCTCTTCTATTTTATCGGTTTCTCCACTATGGTGGAGTTGGTTGTGCTCTCCGAGCCCCGTCTGCAGCCTAGGCTTGACCTGGGAGAGTTCGGTCCACCAGGTTGTTGCTTGGACCAGCCAGCAGGTCCACATATCCACTACAGCCCGGTTGGTCCAGCACTTGTTGCATGAAAGTGTACTTTTTTCTGAAAGAACTTCACCTTTGTTCCGGCAATATATCTTACGCTTGCTAGAAGGGTATTGAACAGCCGTGGACCTCGGATGTTCAGTGTTCTCTGGTTGTGCCTTCATTGCCTCTATTCTGCATTTCCTTCCGTATCTTTCGCTCCAGTATGTTGTTATTCTACTGTGCAAATTAGGGACCTGACCCTCCAGTATCTTCCATGTACCTATCATTTGATATCTCTCTCGCCTCTTTTCCCGAGAGTAGAATTTGAGAGCTTTGAGACGGTCCCAGTAATTTAGGTGCTTTAATGTGTCTTATGCGCACCGTACATGTTCTCTGTATTCCCTCTATTGCAGAATTTTCTCCTGTTCTGAAGGGGGAAGTGAGTACCGAGCAGTACTCAAGACGGGACAGTACCGGTGATTTAACTGGTATTATCATTCTTGTGGATTAGCAAATCCGGGGATTACTGTGGCATCCCTGGATGTGAACGCTCTCAGAACCCATCATATAAATTTCCTAGCTGATGCTGTATTTAGTTATGCTCTCTCTTTGTTATTTTCTTTACCATTTCTGTGTTCGGTATATTGTTTCAACATCTTTGTCAATATTCATCTACTTTTATTTCTTTCAGCTCTTTATTTCCTCTTCGAAAACATTCTTTCCTATATAAGATGGTTGACCAATTAATTATTTTATTTACCTATCTTATTTTAATTAACCTAATCCAACCTAATCTACCCTAATCCAGCTTAATATAACGTAATCTTGTCTAACCTAATCTAATATAACCAAATGTAATCTAATCCTGCCTTACCTAACGATTCTCAGGGTAAAGTAGTTCTGTTGACTGGCCAACTGCCCTGGTTAAATACCTGGATATTTATCTAGATATTTGTGATGGTCTGAAAGAATATTACCGTTCCAGTAATAGTCTACTTGTAAACTGGAAGTGGATATTTATCCTAAACAGAGAATATTTTCAAATTATAACTTTATTATAATATAAATCGTTGGTTTAAAATATAAAAAATCTATTCTTAACTCGTTTTCTTTGAAACGGTCTGAAGAATTTAGTTTAAATTAAATTCTGGGGGATACTCAAATAGATTTGGAATTTCATATTTCACATGTATAGGAATAATACAGCATATTAACGTAACCAAACCTTAAACTAATGTAACCTTAACCCAAGGTAAACTTAATGTAATGTAACGTAACCTAACGTAAACTTAACGTAATGTAACGTAACGTAACTTAACGTAAACATAACTTAAGATTACCTTAACCTAACCATGGGTAGGGAGTAGATAAAGCACTAATTACATAGTGGTATTGAAGTGATTACCTCCAGGGGTCCTCCTCCTCCTCCTCCTCCTTGAAGACAGGTTGCAATGTATACATTTTTAACAATTCAAAAACCCTGCATAATATAACTGCACTTCCCTTTCCCCACCACCCACCACCTACCACCACCACCACCCACCACCACCCACCACCACCACCACCACCCACCACTACCACCAACCATCACCACCACCCACCATCACAGACCACTACCACCATCACCACCACCACCCACCACCACCCACCACCACCACCTACAGTAACCTTGTCTCCACCTACAGACTCGGGCCTGGAGGAGGTTGCCGCCAGTCAGGTGAAGGTGCACGACGCCCAGGCCAACCGCGCCCTCATCCACGAGAACCTGGAGGAGTACGACGCCTCCGCCGTCATTGTCAGGTACGTCGTCCACCCTCCCGAGGGTGCGGTAGGCCTCCCCCCCGAGGGTGCGGGGGGTGCCGCCCCAACTCCAGTGTCACACCGCGTACAAGAGCATTTGATAATTATGTTATTAATGCACAATAAACAGTTGTTGAAGGGAAGAAGCTCCGTGTTCAGGGAACTATCTGTTTTAGGAACCAGGGTGAGGATGGGTGGGTGATTGTTGGTTCACTGTGGTGATGGTGACTGTGGTGGTGATGGTGACTGTGGTGGTGATGGTGAGTGTGGTGGTGATGGTGAGTGTGGTGGTGATGGTGAGTGTGGTGGTGATGGTGAGTGTGGTGGTGATGGTGAGTGTGGTGGTGATGGTGAGTGTGGTGGTGCTGGTTCTCTTCACCGCTGAGCAGCGACACAATATTATAAATGCTCCAAGTGGTTGGGCAGCATTCCTTCACCTCAATATACTTCCCTCTTACCCCCCCCCCCAAACACTTAGTCTATCGCATATCCCTTCTGTGTGGTATATAGTCATACTGTCCTAGCACTTTCTCCTCGTAATGGCCTTGAGTAGCTAATATTTACACTTTGCTTCAACAGGGAGAAGAGGGAGGCGCTGAGAGCTGAGATAATCCAGGCAGTGAAGGCTGGGGTAAGTATAGTGATGTTGGTTGGTTGGTTGTGGTAGTATAGTGGTGTTGTGGTTGTTGGTTGTGGTATAACCCCCCCCCCCCCCTTGTGGGGTGTACTTGTGGGAGGGTATTGGTGGGGAGTGTATTTGTTTGGGTTTTCTTGTTCGTTTACGATGGAATGTATTTGTCCAGATTCGGGTAATTGTTATTAAATATATTTGAGTATTCTGTCTGTCTGTCTCTCTCTCTCTCTCTCTCTCTCTCTCTCTCTCTCTCTCTCTCTCTCTCTCTCTCTCTCTCTCTCTCTCTCTCTCTCTCTCTCTCTCTCTCTCTCTCTCTCTCGTCTCTCTCTCATCTCTCCCTCCCTCCCCCTCCCTCCCTCCCTCCCTCCCTCCCTCCCTCCCTCCTCCCCCTGGCTGTGTTGTGTCATCATGAGGCTGGTGGAGGCTATAACTGCCACTGTGGTAATTATGACACTGATGAGTGCCGTAGTAATGACCCGGGAGCCTCGCTGGTGGTGGTGGCACTGAGGTCAACAGTGCCAGTGCCAGCCTTGGTGATGTGACCTCTGTCACCTCTGTTATTTTCCTCTCTCCCCTCCCCCCACCTCTCTCTCTCTGTCTCTCCTCTTCCTTCTCTCTCCCTCCAATTTCGGTCTCACAAGTGGCTTCAGTATTTCGGTGTGTGTGTGTGTGTGTGTGTGTGTGTGTGTGTGTGTGTGTTGTGTGTGTGTGTGTGTGTGTGTGAAGGGAAGAAGTTCACACTCATGCTTGAGTACAACTCACACTAATGACTGATAGAGTCCGACGTGGACAGCTGAACCATGACTGGTCAGACAAGCGGCTTCTGGAGTTTAGACCTAGCAAGTGCAACGTGATGAGAGCATTGTAAAGACCTGAGGTATGAGGGAACCGGCACTCATAGCCCGGGCTGAGATCCTGTCCTCATATCCTAGCCCTTAACCTGTCCTTATATCCCTTCCAAGTGCTATATAGTCAATGTATTTACCTTAGAGAAACATGAACAAGATACCATCAGCAGCACATGCAAGGCTGGTGGGTGTGATGACAGACTTGAGGCTGTCAACAAGAGGGCCTTCACTGTAGTTCACGACGCTTGGGTAAGACAGTGAGCCTTAACCTTGTTAAGACAGTGTTAACTGTCTTAACACCTTGTTAAGAAGCTTAAAAATGCCCGAGAATGTCCAGAAGTTTGCCACTAGTCTAATTCTTATAATTAATGAGGTCATCTAAAGTAGGCTAATTTGCCTAAATCGCAGACCGTTTGTGTGAGGAGAAACCGG